TTGGAGGGGAAAAAAGGGAATTAACTGAAACTGAAATATTCAGAAAAGGAACAATAGAACAATCTACCCAGGTGGATGAAATAAAGGTTCGGTTCAAAATTCCAGTCACCTGAAGAAGGTCGAAGCATACAACGGCCAAAACATTGTGAATATGACAATAAAGATGAGGATTACAGTCCCAGCAATGTAAATAGCATCAATAAAAACTCATTTATATATGGTAAGTCTATAATTCAAAAAGATCAAAATCATGAAAATTTATGTACAGTTTAAAAAAAAAAAAAAAAAGAATAAGAAATAAAAATATTTTCATGCTAGCTTAAAATTTAAGTTAGCTTCTATGGAAGGCTCTCAATTGGGCCTTTATCACAAAAGGTAGTGAGGAGTAGACATTATGGCAACAATAAACTCAAAATTGATCACTGTATTTAAGTATTGCATTAACATTTAAACTTACCTTTTAAAAGTTCAATGATAATTCTTCTGCCGTCACTTAATTTTAAAGACAATTTGATGTACGTAGGTCCTTACTTTCCATATAAACAATTATTTTATTTCATGGGTGACTTTCACAATTAATTTCAATTACTCCCAAATTTATTAAAAAAAATAAATTAATAAAAAATAAAATCAAATCACGGAGAAATAAGCTCAGTAATGAAAACTTGGTAAACCAAAATTTCAAGATTGCGGGTCTGTATATGGCCCAGAATGTTTTTAATTTGCTCATGTTGGCCTGATTCCATAATGGTATATGTTGGACTATGGCCTCTAGGAGTAAAGTTGAAAATATTGACAATTTTATTTTGAAATACTGTAATTTGAGGACAGTAATTTTTTCATTTGAACATGAGCTATTGAAAATTAGAGAATAGCATCCTTTTAATTGTTTTTATCAGTAGAAGTGAAGATGCCAAAATCTGAAATCAATCACAGTAAGGAAAACTTGGGAGTCCAAAATTTCAGGATTGCAGGTTCAGATGTGGACTGTTTTTAAATTACTCATGAGTCAACCTGATTCCAAAATGGTATGATATGTTGGGCTACAGCCTCTAGGAGTAAAGTCAAAAAAATGTGACAGTGACACACTGATATTTGCATTTATTATATAGATGAAAGTCTATTAAATGGATAGATTCTGGGTGACATTCATAAACATTAACTATATTTTTAAATCTAACTTCCACCCCTAAATGTATCTATAACCAGGTAATCTATCACCTATCAATTTGGTCTCTTAGAATTCTTTTATTTAACACTTTGCTTTTCTATAAGAATTGTTTAGACAATTTTAGCCTTTAAGGATTCTGAACTTTCAGGATTACAACATTTTTGGACTATACAACTTGAGATTCTCCTTATCTATGGCACTGAATTTTGTGCCATCTACTAACATCACCTGCACTCCTTGTATGCTTCCACCAGTGTTGCATCCACATCATTCTCAAAATGGGCTGGAGTGGCTATCAAACACAGAAGTCTTCAAGAATGTCAGTGCCTTCAGTATTGAAGCAATGATACAAAAATGCAACTGTTCTGAACAGACTGAAGTAAGCATTTTATTGCATCACAGTTGTAGCTTTACTTGTTATTAATTTAACAAAGAAAAAATGTAATGGAAAACAATGTGAAACAAGGAAGTGCAGAAAGATCCTGGACTAAACACCTCCAATAAATAAGGTAATATTTGTGAGAAGAATGATCACTTGTTTTACTTGTAAAATATTACAAGGGTTAATTTATGTATTTAAAGCACATCTTTGATAATATGAGCTCTTTTTGCAATGACCTGTGAAAGATATGTGGGAAAGAGCATAAATGTTAGTCTGGGTATTGATCATTGACTATTGATCCGAGAAAAAGCTTGATAAAATAGTAGAAATGATATGACCTTCCTAAATAAGAATGAGTAGCAACACTGTCCAACCAATTCATAGCTTTTTTGGATGCTTGTTATCAACAGGGAGAATTTCTCTTAATATTCATGGGAATATGAAGGGCTATCCAAATTTTATGGAATTTGACAATGCATATAAACTAAATACAGTATGGACTTTTTTTGGCACTAACCTTTGAGATGGACCATAAAAATGGTCAAAAGAAGGAGATTCCTTTGAGAAATGGTAGAAATTATGTATTCAAGAAATTATCATTGTACAAGCTTAGTATTTGTCAAAAATGATAGGATATTTATAAATAGCTCAGCATTTCTAGCCCAGATCAGAGTGTCTGTGTACTCTGTTTGGGATTGCAGTGTACAAAGAGGTGCTGAAAAGTTCTCATTCAACTAAGGGGTTATGGCGGAAAAAACAAAAAAAAAAAAAAAAAAAACCTCATTTGGTCACATGTCTGAAAGTGAGAATTTTTCATCAAAACTGTGTGTGCATAATATGTTTCATCACTTTAAATGTTATTTTTAGTGTATATTTGTATTTGAATAGACACTTAGTTTATTTATTAAACTGCATACTTATTTTCATCTACCATCCTGAATATTTGAGAAATCCCATTAAAGAAAAATTTATGCTCTCTGACAAGATCTAATGGTGCTCTTTTTCTCACAGATGGTGCCAAACTGACCATACTATACTGTGCAGTTGACAAAACCAAAAACAAACAACATGCATGTGCAAACTTAAAAATATAATATGGCGACAGTTTACCCATCACACCCTGTATATATTATTATGGCTTAAATGGCAATGTAAATATCTTGATATATCTTCACTTATCCATTATTTCATTTGTTTTAATAGTTTCTTTTGGTTTCTAAAACTAATTATTTGTAATTTTTTATAGTTTTTGCTCCTTTGATTGTTGTATGGGACTACCCTTTTTATAACTTCTCATTTGATTTTGGTGAGGATATGATTTTCTATTTGGGTCCATATATATTTTGATAAGGTTGTGTTTGCATTTTTTTTTTCTCTCTCTCAAAAAAGACATTTTCTGGTTATATCTTTCTTTTAGGCTTTTTATTTTGTAGCATCTATGTAAACTTTTTCATCTGTGTTAGTGTTATTAGCTATAGTAGCTTTGTATATTATGTTATTGGTTAAGCATCCATTATTATGCGGGTAATTCTCTTTGTTTTTATAATTACATTTGACAGTTTTATTTTGCTGTTTATTATCATGCCTTAAAATATATTTCATTGATATTGTTCATAAGAAAGAAAGAAAATAAGTAAAAAAGAATGAAATGAAATTAATGTGGCTAGTCGGACTGAGTAAGTTTGAGCCCTATCTGAGCCGGAAGCATTTAATAGGCAATGTATTTTTTGCTTTAATTTTATAAAAATCTTTTAAGAGTCTCCACTGACTTGTATGGCCTGATTTTCAAAGAACACATTTTTATTTCGACTTATTGTTTTTTACAGCATAAGGATTTTAGCACAATAAATCGATTGAAAAAAGGCAAATTGAATTAATTCAAAGAAAGTAACAGCCCTAATTCATTGACTGGAAGTTTGGGATGAGGAGTGGGACTTGGATAGTGTTGAGGAAATATGATATCAGTCAAGAGTACTGATCATAAATGTACAATAAATTAAAGTAAAAATTTATAGAGAGATACATAAACACACATTTGAGATAGATACACACATTATATAAAAAAAACAAACAAAAAAACATAACTGGCTAGAGATTTTTAAACATTATATATTTTAGTTAAAGTAAAGGAATCATTTTAGCATCCAAGTTATACCAATAGTATATTTTGTTAAAGATTATAATAAACCCAACAAACATTGATGATCTAGAGTTGCTACTGGTATAAATCCATATCTTTTTTGTTAATTACAGTTGGTAATTTGTTGATCATGTCTGCCTACAAGTTC